TGAAAAAACAGCTTAAAGAATTAATAACTAATAAAAGCAATAAGATCCTTCAAGCTGGGAGTCTTTATAACTTAGTCGAGGCTCGCCAATTTTCAGCTAAATTGATTCGCAAAGATGCAAAAAAAATAATAATTAAAGCCGTTTTGTTCAGTAGCTGAAAACAACATGTTCCTGTGCTATGCATAACCAGAACCGAGACTACAAACAGATCAATACAGCCCACAACCTGGGATTAAGAGTAATGGATTCCTGTTGGAGCCGAGCAGCTGAAGTCATTTTCAGCTCAAATAATAAGAAGCAAAACGGCCGAATATTGGAAGTTTATGAATGTATGATACATGTTTGATGCTTGGATGCTTCAGAATTTAAAAGGAAAATGTGAGAGAATGTGAGTTTTTTCTGTAAGTCCATCTTGAGTGTGGGGGGAGGAAAATGCCCTATTGACAGCATTGGAAAATTTCTATTGATTATTCTTCTTTTCTCTGAGCAGTGGCTTGTTAAAAAAGAGCCCTCTTGGAAACACGATCAATTAGTGAGATAGTGCTCGCCATTGATCACCCGACTGCCCCTCACAAGGCCTCATACGATGGATCCCTCCACACACTCCTTATGACTATCTATTGATCTGGGCTTCTTAGCCAAATTTAAAAGCACACACTTGCCGCCAGTGCCCTCCTCCCCATCTGAACCGGACTAACACTAATACTGACATCTGCTTGTCTCCATTGTAAAAACCCTCGGTTCACTCATAAATCCTGGGCCCAGAACCAATATAGTTTCTGAGAGGTCAAGGGTCATGAATGGTAATAACACCACCATTAACAGATCTGCCTAGGTTAATACTGAGAGTTCAGATTGAGCTATAACTGGTGGAAAATGCTACTTTTTAAAATGGGGAGATATTTCTTTAGGTTCTGCTCGTTAAACTTGTTTGAGATTTAATGAGCTGAATTATTTGCATTTGTGAAATATTCACGTTTATTTCAAACATAAAAATGTAGCTGAAGTACTTTTAAAAGAAAACAAAAGCCCTATAAAGTTTACCTGCGAGAGTTTGATGAGCTACTTTTATGGTGATGTGCCAAGAGTAATCGATCTCTGTTTTTTTTTTCTACCAATCAATCATCAAACCAATCAGTGAGCCAGTCACCCCATCAGTCAAAGATAAGTGGGCCTTCTACAAACACGGAAGCCACTTGAAGAGTACTGCGGTTCACCAATGTTAAGATTATACAGATGTAAAACTATTAGACGCAGCAGGCAGTGGAGCATTAGATAATGCTCGCCATATAAGCAACTTGAGTCATCTCTTTGTCAGCGGCTGCCCTTGCCCTTTTCATCCTTCCGTCCCTGCACCCCCCCCCCCCCCCCCGTCCCCACCCCTCCTCATGGATCAGCTGTGATCTCCTCTTTCTCTTTTCTCTCAAATCGGGATTAGTGAGCAGGAGGGGTGCAGGGGGCTGCGTGGTGCAGCAGCACCAGCAGTAGCAGCAAAGGGAGGAGACGGCAGGGGGGGGAGAAAAAACTGAAACAATATGGAAAGGAGATTAGAAAAGTGGGGGTTTGGGGCCGTTTGGGGAATTGCAAACTCCCTTGTGCTTGGGTAGGTGTCCTAATGACACTGCCTAATTATGGCAAAATTAGACAGGCTAAAGGGAATGGGGTAGAGGGCGAAAGAGACGGTAAAGGGAAAAGAGAAAAGAGAAGAGGAGCATGGGAATTAAGAAATTGGGAGTCAAAATATAGGAATACGGAGCGAAAGGAAAGAGAGAGAGAGGGGTGTGTGTAAGCTTGGGTGAGTGGGGGGCTTAAAGGAAGGAGGCACGAGGCTGCGAGTGTGAGAATAAAGAGCGAAAGAAGGAGGAAAAGGGGTGGAAAGCAGCGGCTGGGCGACGGGAGCAACTGGGCCCCAGAACGCTGCATGTTAATTGGAGAACAGGTGTTGGGGCTGGGAGCAGGAGGCTGATTACTGCATCCACAGAAACAGACCGTCTTCTACACACACACACACACAAACACGCACACATGCACGGCTGCAGACAAACGCACACACCCACACACCCATCCATACACACATGAATAATTTAAGCTCCAAGCAGTGACTGGGGAAAAAGGTCACAGTAAGGGTCACGCAGACACACAGACAATCGTTCATACATCCATATACATACATAAATAAAGGATCGCAACACAAACACTAAAAACATACATCATTCCTGTGAGCACACGAGCAGCGCAGAGATTCTGCGGATGCAGAAGCAAATTGGGCTAACTGATCTCTTTAAGTTCGTTCTTGGAATAGAAAAACCGATGTTGGTCACGCAAAGTTCCTTATCAGAAAATAACTGCCTGCTAATTGGTCAATCCCTGATGAGAAGATTCTGCAGATCAGTTATGATGTAGAAACTCCCATCAAGATAAAATGGACCCAGTCTGATTAGTTCATTCTGCAGGTCAATGATTTCAACCCTTGAGAGATGCACATGAGTCTAAACTGATATATAGATGGTTAAACGTTTGGTTTGTCCTTACTGATGTACTGAAAAAGTGCTGAAAAAGTACTTACAAGCTAATTTCAAAGATAGTTTGACTATGTTAGGGGATAAAACGAGATAAAACAAGGGGCCAAAAGGGGTCATTGTTCAAACTGTATGCCACTGTAAATGGGAAAAGCAGCTGCTCTGCTGTATTCTGGGAAAACTCAAGAAACAACAGCCCGTTTTTTTTTTTTCTTCTTTTTCCGTTATATGAAAACTATCTTCAGCAGAGATCCTTAGAGACACACTGTCAACAGCCAGCCAGCTTGAACTGAGGAGGGGAAAAAGAAAAAGGTCCTTGACGTATATGAAGTGTGTGTTTCTTTGACAGACAATTGAGGGGCAGAAGAGCGGGAAGAGGGGCAGAAAGGTGGGAGTGGAAGAGAGACAGGGGAAGAGGTGATGAGGGTTGTGTCTCTGACATCACAAAGAAACTATTCCACATGTACGGCTTGCTCGCGAGCATTCATCACTGCGGTTAATGCCAAGCAGACAATACGAGGCCTCCAGGAAGCCCCGGACGTGAAGTCTCACCCGCACGCTGATTACAGAGGGGTGGTCATCTGGCGCAAACCCTGACTGGCTGTGAAGGTGCACAATTATGAGAGTCGTCCAGAAGCAGGAAGTAAATTCATGCTTCTGATGAAAGGGAACATGTGCTTACACCAGGTGAAACGTCAGGAGTGAAGAAATTGCAGCAGATCCAGAAAGGTTAAAAAAATAACAGCATTTGCAGATAAGCAGGCGACTCGATAAATTAGAAGATTATCAGCAATTCAAATTGATATATAACCCAATTTCTAGTAAATCAAACATTACATAACACTAATGAAAGAAAATACTTCAATACATAAATGTCATGTTATACCCCTGTCATAGCAAACATAATCATAGTAATAATGACTGCTGACTTGACACTTGTCCTGCAGTCATTTGCCCCACAAAAGCCTACTGGTAAAGAAATTGGCTGTTCAAAGAGTACTGTTTGCTAACAGTCTAATGGAAAGTTAAGTGGAAGAAAGACGTGGGGTAGAAAATGACTCACAGGCTCAACAAAGTCTTAAGAAATGAGAGTAGGAGCTGGGAAAATTTCATGACTGAAACATTCATAATCACTTAGTTATTTGTGTTAGTGTGAATTAGAAATTAGACATCAAATAATGTGCAAAGGTTTAATACAACTGTATAATTTCATGCTCATAAAAACTTTAATTAATCAAATGGTTTAGTAATATTTACTAAAGCCATCCAGTGAACAGCTGACACAGAGCCTTAGAAATATGTCATCCCTCAGTCAATCATTGACTCCATTTTCAGCTAAAAGCTCCCTGAGAGTCACCTGGTTTGAGAGACCAAAGCTGCTCAAAGTGGAAGGAAACGACAATAAATAATGGATCAATTAAGAAGGAAACTGTACAGCAGTTTTATTCACACTGTATCCCAAAACAATGCAGGAGGTCATCCCTCATTGGTTCTGATTAAATTTAATTTATTTTCATTTAACATTTATTCAAAGAACTATTGTCAAAAATGACTGTTTGACAATCTACTGGTATATATAGACCCAATTCCTCCTCTAAGTTTAAGCACTTCTTTCATGCCTGAAGTATTCTTATGTCAGAGTTAACTAGTTTAATGGCCAGGTATTGAACTAATAAAGTGTAAAAAGCATAAAATGTCCCAACTCCGCATATTTTATCACCATTTTTTATCTGAAAACAAATCTGTAAGTAAAAAATACTTATTCCATAGTGTAAAAGTTGCTATTTTGGTTACACATATGACTTGAAGCATTAAAGTTTAAATGTTAAGTACAGTTTAATTTAATTATACGTTAAGATCTTAAATCATAGCATTACACCCTGTTTCTGCTTATTTTAGTTTGGATCCTCATGCAAAACCATTTGATTATAACAACGTAGGTCACCTGATCAATTTAAAATAATTTTAGGAGTCATGTAACAATACTTCTTTATAGTAGATTATTTTTAGGAAATAAGAACACCTCTATAAATCATCCATTATGACATTTCTCCCTCTCATGGCATGAGGCATCAGGCCTCATGGGTACAAACTGATTTTTCTTGCAGAAGAAGAAGATACTTTACTGCAGAAGAGTTGAAGGTGAATCTCCCCAAATAGAAAACGTACAAAATGAAAAAGGGATTAACTGACCAACGCCCTCAAGTCCACATTTTCTTTTCTTTTCTTTTCCATCTTGGCAGCTTAGGCGAACAGAATGGTGGGACAGGTTGCCTTACAGTGTCAGCCAACATTTAATCTACAAAAGTGGGGCTGCTTTAAAACCCAAACTTGTCTTTACATTTAAGGAGTAAATTAAAAAGTTAAATGTTTCCTTTTTGTTGTTGTTGTTGTGAGTGTTTACTTCCAGATGTACAAAGAGAAAAGCCAAACTGGACACTAAGTGGTGGATCACTGGAGGTACATGTTTCATGTTATTACCTGTCAATGATGACCGGATCAGAGGGCGTCTCATTGCGATTGCCACAACTTTTCTTCTCACAGCAGCGGCTGAGTGGGTGGTTGAAAGAAAGAGAGAAAAAAAAGTCAGAAAATGAAACCAAACTGGCTATTATTTGTCTGGCCCATCAGCATCCACAGCCCCAGACAACGCTTCTCTGCGGTCGGCCAAAATCCAGAAACACACAAAGGAGGCATGAGAGGGGAGGGGAAGAATAGACAAAAGAAGAAAAGAGGAAGAAAAGGTACAACAACACACCCTACAAACAGTGAGAGACCATTCAAAAGTGAAAAGCCAGCCAGGCAATCTGTCACATTGATTCTGAAATCAAACTCAACCCCCATGCAGCTCCACTGCACACACACACACACACACACCTACCCACACACACACACACACACACCCACACACACACACACACACACATACACACACACCCTATCCCACAGCATCCTACCATTCGTCAGCGGTTCTGTCCGAGGAGCCTGCTGGCCATCCCCCTTTTGCCCCCCCCACCAACACACCTCCCTGTCCCCTTCACTGCATAACAAAAGTGCCCCCACCCCTAACCATCTGCCACCCCTACACCTCGCCTCAGCCCTCCCGTGTCCCAGCTTGGCCCTGCCCTTCCCCCCTCTGCCCCCCTGTCAGACGGCCTCACTCCCCAGCTGTGACGCTTGCCCTCTGCCTCCTCGGCTCTGTTATTAGCCAGCTGTGAGTCACATTCGGGCATCTGCTGGCCACACAATGGCAGAGCCCGGTCCGTCTCAGTTCCTCCCTGCGTGTCCCAGGACCACATCCTTTACCTCTCTGAATCCCAGGTCAGTGCCCCACTTCCATCCATAACCCATCCCTTTCACTTGTCCTCTTTCTTCACCTCATAACAATAAAATCGCCTCGGTCCTGATTCAAATACAAGTTTTTAAATGCTAGTAAATCAGCACTTTAACACTGCTTGCCGGAGTACTCTTGTCACACCATGTTCACACATGCCATCTTGGCTAAAATATAACAGCGGGAGTTATAGTTCAATGAGCAAAGAGAGGAAACTGTTGGCCATTAATTGCTTGGTGCTGCTAGCAGAGTTCTGCCTGCAAAAAATCCCGGGTGAGAAATAGAGGGGGCCCAAGAAGAAACAGGAGCTGGACCAGCGACCTGCTGCGATACAGCGGAAAGCAGCAGGGGGTCAGCACTGTAACAAGGGTGATGACAGGCAGAGTAGACTTGTAGTTTAACAACACCCCCATTTTTAAGAAAAAAAAAGAGTCCCAAAGCCACATTTCATCGATGCTGGGAAAATCAGAGTATAACAGAATAATGGATGTTTGGATTTAGTCCCGTTGGGCAAAAATGTCAATCACTCACCTGCACATAACCTCATGCGTGAGCAGAACTCTGCACATTTCTGGGTTCTTGTTCTGTCCCTCGTACGATATGGGCTGGGAGGAGGAAATAAAGACCAGCAGGACGGATTCAGTTTCATGTGGAAAAGCTAAACTAATTTCTTTAGGACGACTTGGAATCCTATCAGGAAGATTTAACGAAAGTCTGCCAACCTGTTTGGTGACGGAGTCGATAAGTCGCGCGTAAAGATCTTGCTCCGTACGAACCCCTGTGAGAAAGAAAAAACAGGATGTGGATCTCATCAATAACGTTGTAAGTTGTTCTGAGCAGGAGGGAAGAGGAGAATCGTTATGCGGATGATTTTCATTTGATAAATCAAGACCCATCAAGTCTGGATTTATTTTTTAAAATCACATCAATATCACAGTATGTCAGGGGCAGTCCTGAAATTCTCAAGAAAGCTCTCAACACCCACTAAACACTAAAAATAAAGTAACCAGATTTATGGGATACATTATTCTTTTTCAACCTCCCAACAGTCTCTCACCAAAAAAGAAAAAAAAAGTATTGAATTCAGTCCAGACAACTGAGGAGAACAAACGTGGTGTGCAATCATATTTTTTCTGCAATGGTTTCTGAGGGAATTGAGTCATTTGATGTTTGATAAACATTTCTCATGTCCTACTTTAGGGCTGTAATTTACTGGATTCTCACGGTTTTCCTAGGATGTGCTCTTTGTGGTTGTTTCTGTGTTGGCTTTGGGCTAGAAGTTGAGATGGTTGACAAACAGTTCTAAAACAATACAGAACATTGCAAAAGTATTCATAGTCCCTGAGCCTGTTCTCATTTTGCTACATTTAGACCAGAAACTTTAATCTTTTGAAGGGAATGTTGCAGCTTTACCAACTCAAACAAGGAAGGAAAGAATACAAGGATACAAGGATTTAAAAGTTTGTTGGATTTTTTTAGACAGGTTGTTTTGGTTTTGTAATCAAATGGAATTAGGTCAGAACTTTGACTTGGCAATTTTAATACCTGAATATGTTTTGATTTGAACTATTGCCTTGTCACCCTGGCTGTAAGATCAGAGTCTTACAGCCAGCTGGAAGATGAATCAGGTTGTCTTTTTTCAGTCTCCACTGTGCATTTGGCTCCATCTAGTTTCTGTTAAACTCTGGCCAGCTTTCCCACAGCATGATGTTGCCACCGCCATGTTTGAAAATGTGCCTTGTGATGTTCAGGTGTAATTTTCTTCTCATTTCACCTGAGCTTCTCCTTTCACATGTTTGCTGGATCCATTGAATTTCTGCAGGCAAACGATAAAGCTAGACTTCTTACGGCTTTCTTTCAACAAAGACCTTCATCTTGCGTGTCTTTCATAAAGGTTCATTGCTCTTCATGATGTAGTTGGTCACCTCTGAGGTCTTGAGAGAAAAGCAGAATTACACGCAGGTGTATTAAATGGCTTCTGGAAACAGAACTGGGTTTTATTTGAGGATATTTGAGAAAGAGGGGTAATTACAAATGTACACCACAGTTTTTTAGGTTTTTAAATCAAACAATATCACTTTCCTTCACTTCACAGTCATTTGCAACTTTGCGTTGGTCCACCTGAATAAAATTCCTTGATGCTTCTGGTCACAAATTCACAAAATCTGAAAAAGTTCACAGCACCTGTCTGCAACTACGACAACATTTAGAAACTTTAAGTTGAACCAGTGAAACGCAGAATGGAAAGAAACACCAATTAATGATTTGCTGCACAAGAGAAGACAGTCACTGTTCATGTATTTTCTCTACAAAGACTTTTGAGAATATTGCTTTTAAAAATGTGTTCCTCTCATCAAAGTCTCCATTGAGACGCCTTTGATATAGCTTTGTGGGGGAAGAGGGGGAGGAGGGCATGTAGAGGAAGTGCTGTTGGCGTGCTCGCGTGTACATGTGGTGCGTTCGTCTCTTCGTGAACGGGGCTTCTCCAGAACTTGCCTTTTATCTTCTCTCCCATGGGTGCCACTGCGATGGCAGAGCAGGGGCAGCGGTGACTCATGGGAACCACAATTTTCTGTGCATCCCCTGATCTGATGTGAAGGAACTGCTGGGGGAGGGGTGGGGGTTCGGATGGGGTGGCAACATTTATCTCATTTTCCTCTACTGGAGCCCAGAGGTAGCTGCTTGGAGGGCTTTAAAATCTTAGAAAAGACAGATCAGGCAACGAGCTGCAGAGGGACTGGGGGTGTGGCGGAGTGGTGTGTGTCCTAAACTCTTACGACTCTTGACAGTGAGTCTAAAATAACTTGTTATGGCAAAATTAAATCAAAATACACAACAAGGAACTGATTTTTTTTTTGTCAACTCACCATTACTGTAGAGGAGCTGTAGCTTGTAGTGAGTTCCGTTATTTGTCTTTTCTCCTGTCTGCTCCTTGGAAAGAGGGGAAAGATACACAGAGGGAAGCACAATGCATGCCGATGAGTACACTGGGGTAGAGGCATCTGCACCTGGGCATCAGAGTTAAGCACCAAATCTATTAACATCCTAGAGCTTGTGCTTCTCCGTGGAGCATCTTCCAGATGAGAACAGTAGGCTCAAAGCTCATCATGCATATAAGCTGAGCACTTAACCTTCAGCTTGGGGCTCACTGTCGAGACGGAAGCATCATCTCTGATACAAGCGTCCTGAAACAGAGATCTGACAAAACGGTCGTTTCTGCTGCAAAGCGGGGGGAACATTTGTACATGCTCGTGTGTGTGCAGGAGGAAAATTGTGTTCCCCCCCTGCTGTGTGTGAGCCCGAGCACCAGCGGACCTTGACATAAAAAACTTCTTTTCGACCATCCCTCCTTCGCCCAAGCTCTCACTTCTTTCCTGTTTGGCTCTTGTTCCGCTTCTTCCTTTCTCATCCTCTACCTCCACTGGTCTTTCTAAGTGGTCTCAAAGGAATGCTCTCTGGTCCAATAACCCAGGAGGGCCTGCATTTCGCAGAGATGAGCTCAGGAAAGGAGGAGAGCAAAAGGGGAGTGAAAAAAAAAAGAAACAGGCAAAACGAGGCAGTTGTAAAAGAAAAAGAAAAAGAAGGGGGAAGAAGAAAGTGCAGGAATTAAGATGCATGAAGACGAACTCAGAGCCTAATATGAGGAGTGAGACTGCGACACAACAGGTGATAGATGGATGCCTGGCTTCATAAAGTTTTTGCAAATGCACTCAGAGGAGCATTTATTTTGCCATGCCATCGCTTTACTGCTGCATAATTGCAAGGCAAAAACAGATGCCAGGGTAACCATGCAGAAAATGAACTTCTCCCCTGTCATCATGTGAGTCGGCGCTGGCCTGTGTGGCACAACGAGCAGCACAGTGACAGCTTTCAGGCCTGGCATTAGCACCGCTGCCAGCATGAATGACAGCATAAATATGTTTCGGTTTCACGTGGCAGAGGGACAGCTTCCCGCTGTCCCCCTGTTCACTCGTCTCAGGACGGCGCTGCAGGAGGTCCACTGCCCTCCACACAAAACACAAACGTCCATCGGATGTGGTCAGAAGGACCGCTCCCTCATATCCAACTCTTCCTCTGCCATGAAACTCTTTCCTCATTGCACTCGTGTCCGAACTGAGAAATTTCAAACTCAACAACAAGCCCTTCCACTGAAGCATGGGGGGCTTTAACGAAAAGACACTTTGATGATTAGTTCACTGTATATCTTAACAGCAGCAAGCATGATTTGCATTTTAAAAAGTGGTGATATCCTCCTAATGAGGCGAGCTGCTAATTAGTCATTAGTTATTCTTTTTCAATCCCCCATCATCAGCTCATTGAGGGTGAAGCTCATGTAAACATGTAGCCGTCAGCTGTTCGATATGTTTGGCTGTACCCAGGATGGGGAAGATTAGGTTGAGCACCTGGTTAAAGTGAAATGTTGTCTGATTTTAAATGCGTTATTTTTTATTTTTGCACTGTCTTTCTCTTCAAAGGAAGTGTTGGGATGAAATATAAAATTGCTTTTGAATCAATGCCATCCTGAGACAGCTATTATGACAGAGAGGCATTCACCTTCTCATGCTCAACAAAGTCCACAAACGCCGTCCTCTCCACCTCCACAGGTTGGCCGTGTCTGTCATAGAGGGCCAGGACAAAGTGGAAAAAGTTGGACTTGCGAAGATTGGAAGGCGGCTGCTTCTCAAAGTGAGCTCTTGACAGGGCCACTCCACTGAGGACACAACAGGAAGAGACACAGTCAGCTCTCAGGAATCATTGTGTCTAGTTTAAACTCTTTGTTCATGAGGCTGGTGCATTCTTCTTCAAATTAAAATGTGGAAAATAAATAAAAACTGGAAACACAATTCTGAGAAATATTGGAGCTTTTGTTCTTGTCAAAGATGTTTCAGATATTCTGTAAAATAAAAAATAAAAACAATACATTTTGAAAGGTAAAAAGTTTAGTTGTATAGTGTTTATTTTTTCTTTCTTTTTATTTTTAAGTAAAAAAAATGGCTTTAATAAATTAATTAAAGACCTTGTATGGTTTGCTTCATTATTTGCATAAATGTAAAGTCACATTATTTCAGCTGATGCTCCTGGTTTGAAAAGAAAAATATTTATTTTGAACTTAAATGTTTAAATTAAGCACGTTGACAACACTAATTTAACACAACACAGATTTGAAAATAAAACGTGATATGAACGAAATAAAAATAAAAAAAAACACTTTTGACCAGGAGGGCCACCTTATTAAAATCCAAAACATGAAACATGAATTTGAAAAAGTAAAGGTTTTGAGCGCATCTCATTTTTGTCTCCATTCAGCCATGCAACACTTATCTAACTTGGAAAATGTCCATTACATGTTTTTAAATGAGGAGTAAAATACGTAAATCTGAATTAAAATCCTCCGTGACAATTTTCTTTATTGACAGAGTTGAGCATTGCGCGTGTTTTAACAATATTTTTTAATTTAACAAAAATCCGACTTATTGCGCTGAATTGAACAAGAACAAAAAACTCAACTTGTTTTATCTCATTAAATGAAGCTGGTCGTTTTCTTCAAAATGAAGCTGCATTCGTTTGGCTTTTTGCGAAGTGACTTTGCTCTCGGTTGGAGTCAGAAAAGCAAAATATGCGCGACAGAATAAAAAGAAAAATGTTTTCATCTCACTGTCTGCTGCTGATAAAATCAAGTTTTCTCTTTTCGAAAAGTTTGAAATTGCTTAAGCGGTAAAAACGTTTTTGTTTTGTTTTATTTATTGTTGTTTGAAAAATATTGAGAAAATTGTGGAGTATGAGTTAAGTTTGCATTTTAATTCAATACATAAAAGTCCCTTTTTTTTCTTTGCATTAAAACTTTTGCCATAAATGCACAGTTTTCATCCAAACTTGAACGTTTCGGACAGGGAAAAACCCTGTTGCGCATGAAACAAAAACCCCAAATTTTAACCCTAAATCTAATTCGCGACATTGTCTCTCTTCAAAGAGTTTGTTCATCTCAATGTGAGCTGCTGTTTTCACATTTTGCAGCGAGTCTGTTCCTGTAATTTTCTGACAATCCCAACTATTTCCCGAATGAACCCATAAATGAGATCCTGCGCAGTTCCGAGAGGCAAGAGCAGCAGAGAAAAGTTGCGTTTCGTACTTTACCTTTGCGCTGCAACGTTCGCGTCCACAACTCCCACATTACGCACCCACGACCGGACTGGATCCATCTCCTCTCCGAGAGTTCTCTCTTTTAATCCGCTCACGTCTCGTATTAGCTGCTCCTGGATCCCAAACATTTAAAGCCCCGTCCTGGTCGTTTTTGGACGACTTTTTGAAATTCTTCTGTGATTTGGTTCGGACCGAACAAGGTGGCCTGGACAAGTTGAAGCACTTCAGTGACGACCAGAAGGTCCACTTTCGGGGCGCCGCGCTCCCTCAAAAGCGCCGTGAAAGGAGCTTCCAGTGAGGTTTGTGGAAGGGAAATAAATAAATGTCTGGTGCTGTGTTATGACTCTTAACGGGGCTCAGTAGAAATCCGCACGGACTTTCTTTCATTCAAGGCTCAAAAGATGAATGTAGATATATGTCTCCACAGATTACAATCATTGTCCGAGCGCACATCTCGAGCAGGAGGAGTGGGAGCGCAGCGGATCATCTGCTCCAGCAGAGAGGATCAGACGGGGATGGAGATGTACTTAGAAAAAAAAAAAAAAAAGTAGATCTGCGACCAGAAAGTCTTCCTTTGTCACAAGGCCGGGTTGGATAAAAAAAAAAAAACAGCTGATTCCTGAGGCCAGTGGGCTTGGAGTGAGCCGCTGTCCTGGAGCATGAATGAGACCCTCCGCCGGGATGGAGCGTGGAGGAGGGGCCAAGTGCCATATGGGGGACCGATTGTTGAAATGGATGCTCTCATTGGTGTAAAGTGCATCCGTTGTTTGGACCGCTGCCAGATTCACTATCCAACCCGCGACTCTCACAGCAAACTTTCACACAACAGTTCAACCAGGTTTCACTCTTTTTAGTGTTTTTATTTTAAAAAAAATTTAAAAAAAAGAAAGAAAACTTTCAATGCTTCCATCACTTATATTGACACTTTTATTTTTGTACAGAATAACTAACATTGTGATTTTATGTATTTATTCTGTGTTTGTGAATATAGCTTTGCTTCAAAAAGTACAATAAAATGTAAGTAAATTGCTGAGTGTGTCTGTGTTTATTATTATTATTATTATTATTATTATTATTATTATTATTATTATTATTATTTATTTATTTATTTATTTAAATAGCTTTGTGAAAAGTTCCTGTGGAGCAGTAGCACCAAAGTTGCACTAAAAAAACTATTTGGAAGAATTAAGACAATAAAATCATTGTAAGAATTTCATAAAGCTTCATTTTATCAGCTTTTCAACGTTTTAAGTCTATCGTGACAAGGTACCGGGTAAAGCTTCATTGACAACATCAATCAACATTTGCAGTTTATTAATAGCTCTACTCGCCAGCAAGCAGCATTTCCAAAATACAAATCTTGCGACGTTTTCTTGTATTTTTGGAGGTTTCTGACGTGGAGAAACAAATCAATCTCTCTCAAACAATGATTCTCACACAGCAGTCCTTCCCAGTTGCATTCAGAGAGGGAAATGTTCACCCTGATCAGTGAGGCCACTTTAATTTGTGTCTGTTGTTTATATTTCCAAACAATAGGGAGTGGGCGCCCCCCAGAGCTGTGCACATGGCTGAAAAATGAAGACACAATAAGGTAGAGCAACAAAAATGCTGAAGTCGGTTTCTGATGCAAAGCTGTAATTTCAATGAATAGTTTGTGTTTGTTTGATTGATTGTTCTCAAGAGTTTGGGAAGCTTTTCACCATCTCTGGTCAAAATTGGGAATATTTAAACTGATTAGATCATAATCGGATCATTTTACTAATCTATAACATAGCTTAAGATTCATGAAATCCTTAAAAGAGTGTTAACACAAAGGAACTTATCAAAGTTTTCTGAAATTGGGCAGAACAAGTTTGACTGGTCAAAGTGGGACTACCATAGTGGCTTTCGAAACTTTTCCTCTGCACATTCACTTACATCACTTAAGTTTACCGTTTCCACTGGTGCAAAGAGAGTTTAGATCAAGTTTAATAATCTTGGATGGTTTTTCCTCCAGAAAAACCTAATTATTAGCAACAAGTTTCTCCAGGAAGAAGAAGCTTGTCTTGCATGATGCTTAACTTGATAGCATTTTAGTTAAATCTGGATGCAAGCTTAAATTCTTATTTAACAAAAAAAAAAAAGTTTCTAATGATTTAAACCAACATTGAACATCGCATCAACAAAGAGATCTTTTAATGAAATTTTAATAGATTTAACGGCTAATGTTCAACACCATTCAAAACTCGTTTTTTACAGTGTAACATCCTTTGTAGCTACAGAAAATCCTGTTTGGTCTTTTCATTCAAGTCAGCGTTGAGCACAAGTGCGCTGTCGACAGGGGCGCGTCTCACAGCAGCTCCACCGTCTGCTCCCTTTGAACGCTGTGATTTCACCGAGGACACATCGCATCAGTGTCAGGAGAAACAATGGCCGTCTGGCCGCTCCATCAATCTGCAGCAGCGGCAGCGGCAGCGGCGGCGGCGGTCAGGGCTGCATGCGCTCCTATTGGCGTTGGCTCCGCTGCCTGAAACCAGCTCCTGATCAGCGCCTCGCACTTCCCATCTCTAACGTGTGAAATGTTGTAAATTTTACTTTGCTTTTGAATTTGACGGGACTTTAGTAATACAACTATTTTACTTTGTGAAACCAAATAAATAAATAAGTAAATAATTCAAATAAACATAAATTACAAACTAGTACTTTTTTATTTTTCGCAGTTTCGCTGGTCTACACTGTTTGGGTTCAGTAGAAAGAACATTTTGCATGTGCTGGTGGGATTTGCAGCTGAAATTAATTTCCGCTTCCACTGGTCTGCTCACAAAAAGACTTTTATTTTTTCCGTGGATCCTGGTTCCTCGCCCCTTACCGGGGCTATTGTCTCTATGTGGAGTTTGTAAGCCCGGACAATGAATGTAAATCCTCCCTCAGCCCCCCATTGGATCCCGCCTCAGCCCACCATCTGCCAGCGCGGGACAAAGTCAGATGTTCTCCCAATTATAAGCGCAGTCCCGGGGAATCCTGTGGACCCGTCTGCAGCCCTGTCGCCTCGTCCCGCAGCACACCTCTCTGCTAATGTGACTGACAGCCACACTTAACCCCAAAACCGTGAAAAAATCTGCACACGATGACGCATCGTGGCGGAAATTCCGGCACTGCGCGCTGAAATAAGAGCAATGTAGGTCGGAAATGTGCTTCACTTTTGGTCTTGTAGGTAATTGGGTCAGAAACCTTTATATTGCCAAAAAGAGATTTTATTTAGTATCATTACTTTCACAATACTCATGATTATATTAAAGTTAAAGCAATGCTAAAAGCAGACTTATTTTAAGATGTATTATATGTGAGATGAAATCTTTGTTAAGGACCAAAAGGGAATGAATGAAAAATCTGTTCTGAATCTTGATCAAATATTTCTGTAAATGAATGATATGTCTTCTTTGCCCTGATATTTGTTTGTTTTTAAAGGTTGAGACATAAAAAAAGACTTATTTGCATTCAATTGGCTTCACTTAGACCTCAGTTAGAGATGCAGAGAAACACTTCATAAAAAAGAGTTGCAGATCAAATGACAGTGTGTTCATGTGTAGCTTTGTTTCTTTTGGAGATAAAACCAGATCGTGTGCAGCATTAGAAATGTTTAGAAGACAAAACCGGGCCTGACTGGATCCAGGGCTTAAGGAGCAGGAACCAAAAGGCCCCAGAATAATGGTGCTTGATGTCTTTCAAACATGTTTCAAAAATAATCTGGAGGTAAGTATTCAATTTCCTGGATTTTCCTGTAGAAAATTAATGCAGCTGTTTGCAAAGGAAGATGTGTGACCTCTAACCTATCTAGACACAAACTGATGGAGAACAGCAAGTACTGGGCATGCTTCTTCTCTGCCTTTTTCTGTTTTCAGTGAAGATCCATAACTCCTTAAGTCGCTTTTCTACAGATGAACAAACTCTGAAGTAGGCTACTAACGTTGTGTCTAATACAGCATAGCTTTTTTTGCAGTGCAAGCTTTATTTTATCATTCTCTGTAAAAAGGAAACAAACTTGCATGTCATAAAATGGTTCTATTGCTTGGTGAAAGCCTTGGCTAAAAGAATCAATCCCCAATTCATCACAACACTTCTCACTTCCTATAACTAAAACTGCTGAAACAATTTATTGAACATTTGTGGGGTCGTCAGCCTCTGAGATCTACCAAAGCAAAATCTGAAGGAAACCATCTTCAGTGGCAGATGCATAGTTAGTTTCTCAACATCAAAAAGTCACAACATGTTTGATGGACAGACAGCAGAGACCAATGATGTGCTAATGTCTTCATTGGCTTTTATCTTGTGAATAGCATTTCTATGATGTTGCAAAGTGAAGATATGAATAAAAATGTTGGCTACATCAGTTTATAGTCCATCACTAAGCAGTTTGCCAACTAAGAGTGAAAAGGAACTTTGTAGAAAAGCAAAATTACAACAATTTTGTATTTTATTGTAAACAAATCCTAAAAGACCGTTTAAGTTGATGTGAACATAATTAATAATCCGTTGTAATTTGTGTGGGCAGGGCACAAAAATTGCCTCCGGTCCAGGGGCATCAGCCACCCCCCTCAATCTAACCCTGAGAATAAAGTTGTTGGACCTGACACCGGAGTTCTGCTCAGTTCTCCATTTTGGTCCATTCGACCCGACAGAAACCCGCTGACCAAATGTGTAGGATGTTTTTGGGGTTTTTTCCTGACTTCCCAAAGCGCGGCGAGACAAGCAAAAACTGGAGATGAGACTATAAACGTCTTTTTAATCAATTTCCCCCCACTGAGACGATCGGTCAGTGTGTTTTGGAGGAGCTGTGAGTGTGGAGGGGACCGGGTGGGGGTCACGAGGGGGTGTGAAGGGGGATCAGTGACTGCTAAGCTAAACAATGGGGTATCGTGTGCCGCTCGTCCTCTCCAGCATTCCCCTGCTCCCACGGGACACGCAGAGTCACTTTGTGTGGATGGAGCTGTGACCACGCAGGTCAGGAAGGGGCGTGGCGTGAGCGCGCGCGCGTGCGTGTGCGCGCGGTGATGTTGGTGCCGGGGAGTGCGTGGAGACGCAGCAGCTGGTTTCCGTCTCTTCTCTGCGTTGTGCAGAAAACAACAGCAGCACTAATGCGACTCACAACGTCACGCATCGATCACAATATATCAGGAGCTTTTCGTTTGTTTGTTTCTGTTTTCGA